TGTGAGGTGGTACCCAGTACATAACTCTGCCCATGGCCAGAAGTTCAGTTTTACCAGTCCCTCAAAGCACGATCTGAATGCATTTTTATACCACTCTGACTGCATGCAAAGCTCCCAAGGCAAATGTGACAAGACACTTTAGCTTCACATTTTCATTCCTGTAATCAGAAGAAATACTTAAGGATACACAAGTGTTTCTAAAAGACAAATAAGAAAGTTCAGAAACTAATCTGAAGTTTGGAGTAAGGCATCAGATTAACGTTTCAGAAAGAGTTGGGGCAGAAAATGACAGGCTGCTCATCGCCGGATGGCAAAACTCCCTATAATCACAGGGGACAAGGGGAAGGTAAACGCGAGACACAAAGAAAAAAAGCAAGGAAGGAACAGGCTGTCCGCAACAGTTATTGCTGACATATTTTTAAGAACAGATGGCAACAGACAGTGACGTGACAAAAGGCACTCAGTTCCCAGAGATTTGGCAGTCCTCAAAATCACGGAATGGCTTTTACAGTAACCCGTCTGCAATGCATATTCTTCCAAGGAAACAACAGGTGAGGAGATATTTTCATACACTGCACTGACTGGTTTGCGAGCTGACAAGACAGAAGGCTGAGAAGTTGTAAGGATTAATATGAGGCAGGAAAGCTTTCTGGCATTGCACAGTGAAGACCCCAAATCTGCAGCTCCTGGGGCTCACACAGCAACCATGCAAATTATCTACCAACACCAGCGACTGCTCAGTTCAGTCATGTTCATTACAAAAAATATATTGTTCACAAAACCCAACAGATCCCTTTTTCTCTTTTCTCTAAATAAAAAGAGGGTGCAACATGACAAAGAACTGCTTTTCAGCTCTCAGTTCCTAAAGGAATTATTTAGATTATTCTAAATAAAATGAAAATATTTCACTGCACTTGGACAAAAAAAAAGCTACTTTTGTCATGGGCCAGCTCAATGCCTCAGTGTATTTTGATTGCCAGTGTTTAAAGAGCTTTCCAGTGTCTTTTGCTGAAGAGATAGATACTGGGCAGAGTAGTCAATTTTAAATGACTTTATCAGAGTGCATAAGAATAAGGTAAGCCAGAAGCACTAGTGCCTAATGCAAATATGGTTTTATTCATTTTAAAAAGAGATGTATTTAATCTGAAAGCATACGCCTGTGTATCCACCCTACCTCATACACCTGAATGACTCAGCACTTAACAGCTGCCATTATTTTAAACCACAGCATAATGGCTATGTCCATTACCAGTAAAATGTTTCCAAATAAAGCATCTTGGAAAAATCATCTGTATAACTACAGGCTTCACAGACCTCAGGACAACAGGAAACATGTCCACTTGTGTTTTCTGCAGCCACTCTTTTTTTTTGTTTTTAACCACACAAAATCCAAAATCCTGATCAACTCAAGAATTAGGGTAATCTAATTCTCAATTACTGGAAGCTCCACATGGCAAAACTCAGTCTTACTAATGCAGAGAAACTGGTCAGACATCGACTGCAAGCAAGGAAGGCAGTCCTTGCTCGGAGTCTTTCCATAACGGAAAGAGCCTGAGCAGAGGATCATTTTCCTCCTGTACTCGGCACTGGTGAGGCCGCATCTGGAGTACTGTGTGCAGTTTTGGGCCCCTCACTACGAGAAGGGTAATGAGGCTGGTGAGGGGCCTGGAGAACAAGTCTGACGAGGAGCGGCTGAGGGAGCTGGGGCTGTTTAGTCGGGAGGAAGACGAGGGGAGACCTTATTATTCTCTACAACTACCTGAAAGGAGGTTGTAGTGAGGCAGGTGTTGGTCTCTTCTCCCAAGTAACTAGCGACAGGACAAGAGGCAATGGCCTCAAGTTCTGTCAGGGGAGGTTTAGATTGGATATTAAGAAAAATTTCTTTACTGAAAGAGTGGTCAGGCATTGAAACAGGCTGCCCAGGGAAGTGGTGGAGTCACCATCCCTGGAGGTGTTTAAAAAGCGTGTAGATGTGGCACTTTGGGACATGGTGGTGTGGGGCTGAATGCTGGACTTAATGATCTTAGAGGTCTTTTCCAACCTTAACGATTCTATGATTTATTTACAGTAAGGAGGGAGCTAGAAATGTCTTGGGATATGGGAGGTCCCATATCAAACAGCTGATGGTCTGATGATAAGGAATTCATCTCATCTAAATGTACTACTACTCAGCAGGCAACGCTCACTGCTTTTCACCCAACAGAGAACACATCAGCCCACCCACGTCTTCTTAATGCCTCTGCCACCACTGAAATTTTTTTATTTTTTTTTTTAGGTGAAAACCTGTGAAGCAGATCTTCGGGAGTACGTGTGGTGACAAACACCAATACACAGAAGGTATCTTGCGGTCTGGAAGAGCAGAATTCACGCAGAGGGAGTGTATGCATGCCCTGTCTGACCACGGAGTCCCAGCTTCAGCATCCCAGACACCCAGCTCAGGACACCCGGACACCTACCACTCTGCCAGCATCAGCCAAGGCCAGCTGGACAGGCAAGCCAAGGGCTAAGCACACAGGGGAAAAAAAAAACCCAACATAGGGAATTTCTGCAGCGAATGCCACACAGAAAGAACATAAACTCCAATACAGCTGGAACCATGCAAGAGCAAGTCTGACTGGTCCCCTGAGATGCTCCCGCTTTTATTGTTTAATATCTGACAGTTTTACTGCTTTTGCTGGGGATGAGTGGTTCTGGTAGGAAACAGCTTGCTCTGGCATGCTGGTTACATGCAGATATTCTGCAATCCATTTGCCATTAAACTGTTGCACTTCTATGCAAAGAAGTTGCTCGACCTGTCCAGAATAAGACATTGCATTTGCCTGCCATTTCAGTTTTCATG